TGCGATTGCTGCTCTCTATCCAAACGCAATTTGGTTACCAGAGAATACATGTTGTTTTGTAAAGATGGCGTGATTGTAAATGGAAGCTCTCGGTTTATGTAACACATAACTTGCCCATTCAGACCAGAGTCCGAATCTTTAACACTAATCAAGGCCACTGTGATTCCTGGTTTTGAATCTTCCGGAAGAGCATGTGAAAAAGATGTCACTTCAATCTCCGGTGCGTTGTCGTTTACATCAACAATATGAACAATGACGCTTTTCTCTGTAGCAAGTGTAGCTGCAGCTTTGTCGGATGCCTGGATGTCAATTTCGTATCTGCTACATTCTTCAAAATCTATCGACCCTGCCACAGTAAGTACTCCAGTCACCGAATTTAAATCAAAACGTGCACGTGCCCGTGCATCCACATCATTGCCAAATGAATAAACGACTTCACCATTTGAACCGTCATCCAAATCTGTTGCATTAACTTGAATAACTGTTGTACCAACAGGAGAATTTTCTTTTAGCTGCACGGTGTAAGAATCCTGAGTGAAAACTGGGGGATTATCATTCACATCAAAGACATCAACAATTATTGTCATGTTACCGGATCGTGGAGGTTTACCTCCATCAATGGCTGTCAGGAGTAACACATGGGACTTAACAGATTCTCGATCAAGTGGCTTTTGAAGAATTAAACTAGGAGTTTTGCGATCTTCACCACGATCTTTCACCTCCAAACGAAAATGTTCATTATGACTCAAGGTATACTGCTGAACGGATAATGAACCACTATCAGCATCACGCGCAGCTTGCAACTGAAATCTTGCTCCTGGCAGTGCAGATTCAGATATCTCTAATATCTTTTCATTTTCGGGGAAACTTGGTTCGTGGTCGTTTACATCCAGGATTTCCACTGCTACATAGTGGACCTCCAGAGGGTTTTCCAACACGGTCTTTAAGTCAATTACACAAACCTTGCTTCGGTCGCACACTTCTTCTCTGTCAATTGTTCGCTTCACATACAATATCCCGTCGTCTCGATTTACTCGAAAAGGAGGCTCTGTCGTGCCATAGACAATACGGTACCCTCTCTCTTTCAGTGTGGTCTTATCAAGACCTAAATCCTTAGCAATATTACCAACAACTGTTCCTTCTTTCACTTCCTCGGAGATTGAATAACGGTATTGTCCTGAAGCTCTGGTGCAAAACATAAACAACACCACGATATAGGCAACCCACTTTGTCCGCTCTCTGCATGACTGGCGTCGTCTTTGTTCCATGATGTAAAGATCGGACATTTGAAATAAAATCAGCTTTCAAAGGGCTATACTGGTACACTAACGTAAAATTCCTCCGTCACATTCGTTGCCATAATCCAACCATTCTCCAACACAGCATTAGACTTTTGAGAGCTAAATTCTGTATGGAAGCCGTGAGCACGTAAATGGCTCTGTCAGTGATGGTTTTAGAAGAAGGGGATGGGTCTAGTGGCTATGACGAAAACATGTGAAAACATTATTTGTCATTACACTGACACCAAGTGATCGAGATTCACACTGCAGTACGTTTTTTGAAATAATAGTAAAATGTATTAAAACTTAGACATTGCACCAAAAAGGAAGCGTTTTAAGATGAATATACCACCTGCTGTATTCCCACTTATAGAGCACAGAGGAGGTAAATATGACACCTTAATTTCACAGATAGTCCATGGAGACACAAATTCTCACTTCACATTATACTGCTTCAAATAAATGTGTACCATTTTGCCAAAAGAGAGGGGCTTCTGAAAAATGTTTCAGCACCGCGGACAGCGACAGTCTGTACTTAGCCAAACCACCAGCGCATGTTTAACGTATTTCACTCGGAGATGTATAAGATATATATATATATATATATATATATATATATATATATATATATATATATATATATATATATATATATATATATATATATATTTGATTCAGCAGGACCATAAATAGAGAGGAGACAGTCCAGACAACTGTAACACCCGTGATAATCACATATCCACAGCTAACAGCTAACTAAGGCACTTAATTGCATAAATACTCAGTTTGCATCCACTTATTGTTTGCATTGAAACTTGCCTGCAAACCTCACTGTTGAACGCAAGTTGCCCATACCTATATATTTCCCCATCGGCATCAGTTTAGTGTAACAAAACAGCAAAACAATTTTGTCTTTGCTAAATGGTAAATTGTACTCTGCAAAAAAGGGGTCTGATAATTGTATTAAAGCATTATCTTCTTATTTGTCCTATAAGAGTGTTTGCCATAAATCAAATCAGTGTTGCTATTTCATAACCATAGACATTAATAAGCTCGATCCCGCAAATATAAACCAGAAAACATTGCACATTAGTGGTAGGCGCAACAAGCTTCAAACTCTAGAGCATTTAAATAAATTGAGATTTATAAATCTGAGCTATGGTTATTTACGCAAAAGTGGGCTATTAAAATCTTACAGGAGAGCGAGAGTCAAACTTTTGAGCTTACCTCTCCAGATCCCCTCCTCCTGTCAGGGAGCACTAGTGTGTTCGCGTGGCTGCCCGGGACTATAGTAGATCCTATACTCATTCTGGGTCCAACTAACATGTACCGTTTCTCTCCAGATCTGTACTGGATGCTGTGGCACAGTGTCCCGTCATAATTAGTCTCTTGCAGATATTTAGAAGTATAGTCTGTGGTTTTGGAGCACTGCATTGCAATCAGCACAATGATACTGATGAGAAAAAGTACAGAAACTGAGCCCAAAGTTATCATCAGATAAAAAGTCACGTCGGTCCCCTCCTCATCTTTGGCTGAACTTTTAACATCAGAAGCTGCAAAAGCCTCTTTGGGCTCCACAAGTTTGACCACCACAGTAGCTGTTGCTGAGAGCGACACGTTCCCATTGTCTTTGACCAGTATGAGCAGTTTGTGCTCAGCCTCGTCTGTCTCTGTGAAGGAGCGAAGTGTTCTGATCTGTCCTGTATAGCGGTCCAAACCAAAGAGACTGTGGTCAGTGACTTGCTGCAGTGAAAAGAGTAACCAGCCGTTATATCCTATATCAGCGTCATAGGCTCTGACTTTAGTCACCAAGTGTCCTGCGTTCACATTGCGGGGAATCTCCTCCACACCTTCAGCAGAACCGTTAGAGCTGACTGGATACAGGATGACTGGAGCGTTGTCGTTCTGATCCAGAATGAACACGTTCACTGTGACGTTGCTGCTCAGTGACGGAGTTCCAGAATCGGAGGCAACAACTTGGAACTGGAACGTTTTCAGAGTTTCAAAGTCGAAACTTTTTAGCGCCAAAATGTCTCCGTTTTCAGAGTTTATGTTGAGAAATGAAGCCACTTTGTTTTCTTCGCTTCTGTCTCTGACAATATGGTATGAAATGAGAGCGTTGTCTCCTTCGTCACGATCAGACGCTCTCACAGAAAACACAGAGGCTCCTGGGGGGTTATTTTCGATTATGTAGAAAGTATAGGGGCTCTCTGAAAAATTGGGACTGTTATCATTTGTGTCTGACACATACACGCTTATAGTCTTTTCGGATGTTAAGGCTGGTTCACCTGCGTCTTTAGCGATTAATGTAATATCATATCTCGATTGCTGTTCCCTGTCGAGCTGTGACTTAGTGACAACAGCAAACATGTTATCTTTTATCGATGGTGTTAATGTAAAAGGGCTGTCTTCAGCGACATAGCTGATTATTTGCCATTCATTCCAGAGTCTAAGTCAGTAATGCTGATAAGCGCTACGGTTGTTCCTGGTCTAGAGTCCTCTGAAACAGCACTTGACAATGACGCTACTTCTATCTCAGGAGGGTTATCGTTTGTATCTCTAATTTTAATGATAACACTTTTATCTGTTCTGAAGGGAATGCTTCCCTTATCAGAGGCCTGTATATCAATGTCATAGCTGTCCTGCTCTTCAAAGTCTAGACGGCCTTTCACAATTATCTCCCCGGTGACAGAGTCGATATCAAACAGCTCTCGAATTTTACCTTTTACATCACTGCCAAATAAATAAAAAACTTCCCCATTGGGGCCGTCGTCCAAATCGGTTGCATTAACTTGGATGACTGTTGTGCCAAATGGGGCATTCTCTTGTAGCACGGCTGAATATGTGTCTTTTGTGAACACTGGCATATTGTCATTAACATCTAGAACATCTATGTATATTTCAACTGTGCCTGTCTTTGCGGGATTCCCGCCGTCTATAGCCGTCAACACCAATGTATGGCTTCTTTTGGCCTCTCTGTCAAGCTGCTTCTGTAATTGTAAAATTGGAGTTTTACCTTCTCTCCCGCGATCTTTAATCTCTAAACGAAAATGGTCATTTTGACTGATTTTATATTGTTGGACAGAATTTGTGCCACCATCTGGGTCGTGGGCATTTTGCAACTGATATCGTGCCCCTGGCAACGCAGACTCTGAGATCTCTAGCCTCTTTGTTTTTTCTGGAAATGTAGGAGAGTGGTCGTTCAAATCTGTTATCTCCACAGTGACATAATGTACTTCTAGTGGGTTTTCGAGAACAGTTTTAAGGTCAATTAAACATACACTGATCCCCTTACATACTACCTCTCGGTCTATTTTATGGTTCGGAGAAAGGACCCCGTCATTCTCATTTACCTTGAAAAGAGGTTCAGTCGAGCCGGACATAATGCGAAACCCCTCTGTTTCATCACATTCAGGTCTATTCCCAAATCTTTAGATATATTTCCAACAAAACTTCCCTCTTTGAGCTCTTCAGATATGGAGTATCTTAACTGTGCCGAGGTTGCTCTAAAAAATAAAAGCAACACCAAAACGGCGAGCGAGTGTGGTCGCTGTCGCCATGTCTCACTTCTCCTTTGTTTCATGTTTTGAGGAGAAATTACGACTCCAAAAGCGTCCATCATTCTCCACTTGTCTAGACGCGTGTTTCCATCACAGCATGAAATGTATTTATGTCTCCCAGGAAAGATTTCACAAAATACAAAAAACTGTCACCGTGCGCTTATTCGAAGTCTGCAAGCTCAGTGTTGTCTAACCGGACTGAAGGTAGTGCGGGGCGGACTCGTGTATCCTGTGCTGAGACGCTCTTAGGCGTTATACTTATAAGGTACTGCCACCCTGTGAATGTGTGTGATAATGCATTTTATCACGTTACAAAGATATATACTAAATGGCACTATGTATTTTGAATGAGAATGTTCCTCATGTGGGTTCAGTTTAAATCCGTCTTCAGAACCATGGTCCAGGGTGGTAATGAAAAACGACATCCTTAAATCATCTAATTCAGTATAGCCTATATAAATGTTTACTCACCTCTCCAGATCCCCTCCTCCTGTCAGGGAGCACTAGTGTGTTCGCGTGGCTGCCCGGGACTATAGTAGATCCTATACTCATTCTGGGTCCAACTAACATGTACCGTTTCTCTCCAGATCTGTACTGGATGCTGTGGCACAGTGTCCCGTCATAATTAGTCTCTTGCAGATATTTAGAAGTATAGTCTGTGGTTTTAGAGCACTGCATTGCAATCAGCACGATGATACTGATGAGAAAAAGTACAGAAACTGAGCCCAAAGTTATCATCAGATAAAAAGTCACATCGGTCCCCTCCTCATCTTTGGCTGAACTTTTAACATCAGAAGCTGCAAAAGCCTCTTTGGGCTCCACAAGTTTGACCACCACAGTAGCTGTTGCTGAGAGCGACACGTTCCCATTGTCTTTGACCAGTATGAGCAGTTTGTGCTCAGCCTCGTCTGTCTCTGTGAAGGAGCGAAGTGTTCTGATCTGTCCTGTATAGCGGTCCAAACCAAAGAGACTGTGGTCAGTGACTTGCTGCAGTGAAAAGAGTAACCAGCCGTTATATCCTATATCAGCGTCATAGGCTCTGACTTTAGTCACCAAGTGTCCTGCGTTCACATTGCGGGGAATCTCCTCCACACCTTCAGCAGAACCGTTAGAGCTGACTGGATACAGGATGACTGGAGCGTTGTCGTTCTGATCCAGAATGAACACGTTCACTGTGACGTTGCTGCTCAGTGACGGAGTTCCAGAATCGGAGGCAACAACTTGGAACTGGAACGTTTTCAGAGTTTCAAAGTCGAAACTTTTTAGCGCCAAAATGTCTCCGTTTTCAGAGTTTATGTTGAGGAAAGACATTATATCATTTTGGCTCCCTTCTCTCACAATGTGATATGAAATAACTGCGTTGTCATTTAAGTCTTTGTCCGTTGCGCTCACGGAGAATATCGACGCTCCAGCTACGTTATTTTCTATCAGATAAAACTGTAATGTATTTTGAGAGAATTGCGGTCTGTTGTCATTTACATCTGATATCTGGATGCTCAGAGTTTTAACAATAGATAAGGGAGGTTCACCACAGTCGGTGGCTTTTATTGTTATTTCATAATGTGACACCTCCTCTCGATCCAAAAATCGCTTTGTGACAACTGAGTACGTGTTTTCCTTGTAAGAGGGCTTTAGTTCAAAAGGTACGTCATTGGATATGTGCGAAATAATTTTTCCATTGACACCTGTGTCTCTATCCGTCACTAATAAGTGAAATAACTGTTCCAGGCTTGAGTCTTCAGACACTGTATTTGACAGCGATGTGACTTCTATTTCTGGTGGATTATCATTAACGTCTAATATCTTTATAATGACTCTACACTCACCGGTTAATGGAGGTGTCCCTTTATCTGATGCCTCAACGTCCAGTTCGTATACGTCGTTTTCTTCATAGTCCACTACACCTTTTATTCTAATCTCTCCAGTTAATTTGTCCAACTCAAAAATATCATACACTTTGCGCCTCAAGGTTTTTCCAAGGTTGTATTCAATATCCCCGTTAGAGTCTAAATCGGGATCTGTGGCATTCATTCTAAACACTGAAGTACCGACGGGAACATTTTCCTGTATTGTAATTTGATAAACCTCCTGACTAAACATTGGACGGTTATCATTACTGTCCAGAACAATAATAGAAACATTTAGTGTGCCTGATCGTTGAGGTTTTCCTCCATCAACTGCTGTAACCAGCAGCGTGTGTTTGTCCTTTTGTTCTCTGTCTAACGATTTCTTCAGCACTAAAAATGGTATTTTACCCGCATCGCTTTCACGAATATTTACTTCAAAATGTTCATTTGGCGTCAAAGTGTATGTACGTATTGAGTTAATTCCCGCATCGGGATCACGAGCAGTGTGTAGTTGAAATCGCCTTCCTGGCAGTGTTTGTTCAAATATTTCAAATATCTGTTCTTTCTCGGGGAAACTAGGAGAATGATCATTTACATCAGAAATTTCTACGATTACATAGTGTATTTCCAAAGGGTTTTCAACAAGGATTTTTAGCTCTATTAGACAAGCACCGCTCCCCTGACAGAGCTCCTCTCTGTCAATATGCTTTTGAACGTACAATGCCCCATTGATCTGGTTTACTTCAAAGAAAGGGTCCTTACTTCCAGACACCACGACTCGGAACCGTCGATCATTCAAAGAGGTGATGTCAAGGCCAATATCCTTCGCAACATTTCCAACAACAGTTCCCTCTTCTACCTCCTCTGGAATAGAGTACCTTGTCTGAGCCAAAGCCTGTTTTCCGAAAAGCAGCAGTAGTGCCAAAAGAAACCAGGAGCAGTCCGTTGTTCGAGTTTTCGTGCTGGTCCCCATCGTTATCCAACAACACGTATACACACAGGAGCCTTTACCGTCACAAACAATTATTTATGTCCATCCCGTGGAGTATCGCATCTTTAAAGAACACACAACGTGATTTCATCGGCTGTTGTGGTTGATTCAAGTGTTTCTTTGCTCTGCTCAGATGGGAAAGAAAAGGTTGGTGAGGGGAGGGACAAAGTCGTGTCTGGTTTCCCTTTATAATAGTGACACCCAGAGGTGATTACTAAAACCAGACTTTGCTGCATACTCGTTTTTTTTAAAACAAAAATGTCCCTTCTTCTAGATGGCTTTCTCCCACCAAGAGTCGCATCAAATGATCATTAAAATAATAGCGTTCAATACGTTCATTTTACATTACATTGCTGTTTGACGTGCCCATGTATTTCGGCACCATGGACAGCAAGCACAAGTCGTAGCACAGCCTTCCCCTCTAATTTAATCTATATATACTGCTCAAACAACTCAACAGTAACATCGCAAAATCTTCAAACGTCTCAGTCATTTTTTGGTTAGAAGTTAGAATATTTTAAGGCCCAACTGTCAAAAACTCAATGCCCAAAACACAAATACAGAGTATAATTACTCTGTTTTGCTGAAGAAAAAGTAAACCTTTTATTTTAGCACCAAGGACAATGGTAACACAGACTGTCCTCTTTACAAATGATGAGCTGTATACAATATGTCGTATGTATCTGTAATAATCATGAGTGTGTCTGTACACGAACAATAGTGGCTGTGTTTGACGGAGCTATCTAGCCATGCACAGCATTCTGCTACATTGACTGAAGTTTCTCTTTCAATGCAAACGACCACTTTCTCTGATAAATGAGATAATAAAATTAACTCTAACGCAACATACCTAACAAAACGTATCTTAATGTGTTGGTATTTATGTTTGGTACTGCTGTCTCTGCATAAAGAAACGATAAGAGGAAAACTTTGTGCAAAACACAAACCATTGACTGTATGCTTGTAACCATGTTTTATAAAACTTTGTTTTAAATGCCTTACCTCTCCAGATCCCCTCCTCCTGTCAGGGAGCACTAGTGTATTCGCGTGACTGCCCGGGACTATAGTAGATCCTATACTCATTCTGGGTCCAACTAACATGTACCGTTTCTCTCCAGATCTGTACTGGATGCTGTGGCACAGTGTCCCGTCATAATTAGCCTCTTGCAGATATTTAGAAGTATAGTCTGTGGTTTTAGAGCACTGCATTGCAATCAGCACGATGATACTGATGAGAAAAAGTACAGAAACTGAGCCCAAAGTTATCATCAGATAAAAAGTCACATCGGTCCCCTCCTCATCTTTGGCTGAACTTTTAACATCAGAAGCTGCAAAAGCCTCTTTGGGCTCCACAAGTTTGACCACCACAGTAGCTGTTGCTGAGAGCGACACGTTCCCATTGTCTTTGACCAGTATGAGCAGTTTGTGCTCAGCCTCGTCTGTCTCTGTGAAGGAGCGAAGTGTTCTGATCTGTCCTGTATAGCGGTCCAAACCAAAGAGACTGTGGTCAGTGACTTGCTGCAGTGAAAAGAGTAACCAGCCGTTATATCCTATATCAGCGTCATAGGCTCTGACTTTAGTCACCAAGTGTCCTGCGTTCACATTGCGGGGAATCTCCTCCACACCTTCAGCAGAACCGTTAGAGCTGACTGGATACAGGATGACTGGAGCGTTGTCGTTCTGATCCAGAATGAACACGTTCACTGTGACGTTGCTGCTCAGTGACGGAGTTCCAGAATCGGAGGCAACAACTTGGAACTGGAACGTTTTCAGAGTTTCAAAGTCGAAACTTTTTAGCGCCAAAATGTCTCCGGTTTCAGAGTTTATGTTGAGGAAAGATGTTACATAATTTCCTCTAGCAATGTGGTAAAAAATAGCTGCATTTTCATTTACATCTTTGTCAGTTGCGCTTACACAAAATAGTGAAGTTCCAGCCACATTGTTTTCTGACAGGTAAAACTGTAATGGGTTTTGGGAGAATTGTGGACTGTTGTCATTCACATCTAATATCTGGATGTTCAGAGTTTTAAGAGTAGATAAGGGAGGTTCACCACTGTCGGTTGCTTTGATTGTTATTTCATAATGTGACACCTCCTCTCGATCCAAAAATCCCTTCGTCACAACTGAATATATGTTTTCCTTGTAGGAAGGCTTTAATTCAAAAGTTACTTCATTTGTTATGCTTGAAATGATTTTTCCGTTTAAGCCTGAGTCTCTATCCGTCACACTAATAAGTGAAATAACTGTTCCAGGCTTTGAGTCCTCAGACACTGTATTTGACAGTGATGTGACTTCTATTTCTGGCGGATTATCGTTGACATCTTTAATCTTTACAGTGACTCTGCACCTGCTTGTTAACGGAGGCGTGCCTTTGTCAGATGCTTCAACATCGAGTTTATAAATCTCTGATTCCTCAAAGTCCAGGACTCCTTTCAATTTAATTTGTCCACTTAAACTATTCAAGTCAAATATCTCGTAAACTTTACGTGCTAATGTTTTGCTAAGGCTGTACTCTATTTCTCCATTAGGCCCTTCGTCTGGATCTATTGCACTCACTGTCGTAACAGCACTGCCAACTGGGACGTTTTCATATATTTCAATTTGATATGTATCCTGACTGAATATCGGAGGATTATCATTTATGTCAAGAATAATAATGGAAACATTGAGGGTTCCTGATCTTTGAGGCTTCCCTCCATCAACTGCTGTCACAAATATCAAATGTTTATCATTTTTTTCTCTGTCTAATGGCTTCTTCAGCACTAAAAATGGTATTTTGTCCTCATCGCTTTGACTGGTTTCTATTTCAAAGTGATCGTTTGACGTTAATGTATATGTACGGATAGAGTTAATTCCAGCATCGGGATCATGGGCCGCATGCAGTTCATATCGAGTTCCCGGAGATGCATGTTCAAATATTTGAAATTGCTGTTCTCTTTCAGAAAAACTGGGGGAGTGATCATTTACATCGGTAATTTCTACAACTACATAGTGTATTTCCAGAGGGTTTTCAACAAGGACTTTTAACTCCATCAAGCATGCACCACTTCCCTGACACAGCTCCTCCCTGTCGATTTTTTTACGGATCTGCAAGGCACCATTGTCTGGGTTTACCTCGAAAAAAGCGTCCTTAGATCCAGACACAACACGCAGCCGTCGATCAGTTAAAGAGGTTTTGTCCAGACCAAGATCCTTGGCAACATTTCCAACAAGGGTTCCTTCTTTCATCTCCTCTTGAATAGAGTACCTCAGTTCAGCCAAAGTCTGGTTCCCGAAAATCAGCACTAAGGAAAAATGAAGTGCAAACCTACAGTAGTCGCTTAATCGACGTCGTCTTTCGCTCGCCATCCTAATCCAGCAACACATACACAGACAGGATCCTGTTTCTCCAGCAAATCAAATGTTTATATCTGATTCATTTAGTATCGGATGTTTTGAAAACACACCACACCGACTCGCATGCTCAAATCAAATCTATCCTCTGCTGTGAGGTATCAAACAAAAGCTTTCTTATGGGAGGGACTGAGTCCTTTTACGGCCTTATTGGTGTAACAGTGACACCAAGAGGACAACATTTTAGACTATTTAAAGTCATTATAATGTTATATCAGGCAATATACTTTGGTCATGAAATCCACCACCACAGATGAGAACATAAAGCAGTTTTTGAAAAACTAATGCCATGGAAATCCTCACTGATCTGTACTTCTTGTTTTCAATAACTTACAGTCAGAACGGTGTGAATTAGTGTAATGCCTTGCTTAGAAATAATCTAAATAAATCACACTTCTAAATTCTAATTTAAATTAAGCTCAGGGAAAAATAATAACCCATGTACTGTGTTTCTTAGCTTCGCTCATATGCTTGCTTGAGAAAACAAGGCAATACATTTCAGCACCATGGATAGCGATTCCAAGCAGTCTGACAGCCTCTTTATGTCTTAACCACATTGTTTCTCTTCTTATTTGTTGTCTTTTGCACAAGGATGATTAATACAAGCTACACAAACAACTAACAGCATATCAGTGTAGCAACGTATTGTTTAGAATTTTTATTAAAATTACTGATGGTCTGCTACAAACCTCTTTGCCCAAATGTTCCCCAAAGGAGGTTACATTTAACTAATGCATTTACATTTTATATTATTTCACTGGGAGAGATGGATCACTTATGTCATTATGTAAAAAAAAAACACCTTTGCTGTCCATACTGACTTGGAGAGCATAAAGATGTATATAAGAAATTTGAAGAATGAGAATAACTCTGAAAAAATTGCGCATCAGCCAGCAGCTCTTGCCTACAAAAGCAGGAAGCTAGGTCCAACATTACAGTAACGGAAAAACTTACGTCTGTTCTCTTGGAAACAGAGGACACAATAATACATGTCTCAGACATTTCTGAACATACATTGAACACACTGAATAAGACACAAAGCGTCCACAAACCTCAAATCATGTGATACACATCTGAAAAGAAAACACTACACTTGCTACATATTAATGTCTTACCTCTCCAGATCCCCTCCTCCTGTCAGGGAGCACTAGTGTATTCGCGTGGCTGCCCGGGACTATAGTAGATCCTATACTCATTCTGGGTCCAACTAACATGTACCGTTTCTCTCCAGATCTGTACTGGATGCTGTGGCACAGTGTCCCGTCATAATTAGTCTCTTGCAGATATTTAGAAGTATAGTCTGTGGTTTTGGAGCACTGCATTGCAATCAGCACGATGATACTGATGAGAAAAAGTACAGAAACTGAGCCCAAAGTTATCATCAGATAAAAAGTCACGTCGGTCCCCTCCTCATCTTTGACTGAACTTTTAACATCAGAAGCTGCAAAAGCCTCTTTGGGCTCCACAAGTTTGACCACCACAGTAGCTGTTGCTGAGAGTGACACGTTCCCATTGTCTTTGACCAGTATGAGCAGTTTGTGCTCAGCCTCGTCTGTCTCTGTGAAGGAGCGAAGTGTTCTGATCTGTCCTGTATAGCGGTCCAAACCAAAGAGACTGTGGTCAGTGACTTGCTGCAGTGAAAAGAGTAACCAGCCGTTATATCCTATATCAGCGTCATAGGCTCTGACTTTAGTCACCAAGTGTCCTGCGTTCACATTGCGGGGAATCTCCTCCACACCTTCAGCAGAACCGTTAGAGCTGACTGGATACAGGATGACTGGAGCGTTGTCGTTCTGATCCAGAATGAACACGTTCACTGTGACGTTGCTGCTCAGTGACGGAGTTCCAGAATCGGAGGCAACAACTTGGAACTGGAACGTTTTCAGAGTTTCAAAGTCGAAACTTTTAAGCGCGGAAATTTGTCCGGTTTCAGAATTGATATTCAGGAAAGATGTTATATCATTTTCACTTCTTCCTCTGACAGTGTGATAAGAAATAACTGCATTTTCATTTACATCTTTGTCCGTTGCGCTCACGGAGAATATAGACGCTCCAGCTACGTTATTTTCTGACAGGTAAAACTGTAATGGGTTTTGGGAGAATTGTGGACTGTTGTCATTCACATCTAATATCTGGATGTTCAGAGTTTTAAGAGTAGATAAGGGAGGTTCACCACAATCGATTGCTTTGATTGTTATTTCATAATGTGACACCTCCTCTCGATCCAAAAATCCCTTCGTCACAACCGAATATATGTTTTCCTTATAAGAAGGCTTTAATTCAAAAGGTACTTCATTTGCTATGCTTGAAATGATTTTTCCATTGACACCAGAGTCTTTGTCCGTCACACTAATAAGTGAAATAACTGTTCCAGGCTTTGAGTCTTCAGACACTGTATTTGACAGTGATGTGACTTCTATTTCTGGAGGATTATCATTGACGTCTTTCATCTTTATAATTACTCTACACCCACCTGTTAACGGAGGCGTGCCTTTGTCAGATGCTTCAACATCGAGTTTATAAATCTCTGATTCCTCAAAATCCAGGACTCCTTTCAATTTAATTTGACCACTTAAACTATTCAAGTCAAATAGTTCGTAAACTTTACGTGCTAATGTTTTGCTAAGGCTGTACTCTATTTCTCCATTAGGCCCTTCGTCTGGATCTATTGCACTCACTGTCGTAACAGCACTGCCAACTGGGACGTTTTCATATATTTCAATTTGGTATGTATCCTGACTAAACATTGGACGATTATCATTACTATCAAGAATAATAATGGAAACATTGAGGGTTCCTGATCTTTGAGGCTTCCCTCCATCAACTGCTGTCACAAATATCAAATGTTTATCATTTTTTTCTCTGTCTAATGGCTTCTTCAGCACTAAAAATGGTATTTTGTCCTCATCGCTTTGACTGGTTTCTATTTCAAAGTGATCGTTTGACGTTAACGTATATGTACGGATAGAGTTAATTCCAGCATCGGGATCATGGGCCGTATGCAACTGGAATCGCGTTCCCGGAGATGCATGTTCTGCTATTTGAAACTGCTGTTCCTTTTCAGGAAAACTGGGGGAGTGATCATTTACATCGGTAATTTCTACAACAATATGATGCATTTCTAAAGGGTTTTCTACAAGGATCTTTAGCTCTATTAGACATACACCTCCTCCCTGACACAGCTCCTCCCTGTCGATTTTTTTACGGATCTGCAAGGCACCATTGTCTGGGTTTACCTCGAAAAAAGCGTCCTTAGATCCAGACACAACTCGAAATCGTCGATCAATCAGAGAGGTTTTGTCCAGACCAAGATCCTTGGCAACATTTCCAACAAGGGTTCCTTCTTTCATCTCCTCTGGAATTGAGTATCTCAATTCAGCCAAAGTGTGGTTTCCGAAAATCAGCAGTAAGGAAATTTGAAAAGCAAACCCACAGTAGTCACTTAATCGACGTCGTCTTTCGCTCGCCATCGTTACCCATCAACACATACAAACACACAAACAGAAGCTTGTTTCTGCAGGAAATCAGTTTTCGAAATCAGACGTCCACACGGTCTCTTCCGACTCCAGCTCCTACATCAAATGTATCCTCTGCTGAGAGGCACCAAACAAAAGCTTTGTTAGGGGAGGGACAAAGTCTTTTCATGGCCCTGTTGATGTTACACTGACACCAAGAGGACAACATTTTATACTACTTTAAATTGTTTGAACAAATAATAATTCTTTACGTATTTTGTCAGCAACTATACCTGGGAAGTTCAAGACAAAAGTGTAAAGCAGCTTCAGGTATTCATATGTTGACATAATTAAAAACTGAAGCTGAAACGTTTTAATTCAAACTTAATGATCTGATGAAATATTGCTATTTATCATGTTTAGACAACGCTGTACATTCTGTTTTGCCTGGGAGCATTAAAACCGATATATTTCGGTGCCATGAAATTGCCTTTCTCTTCACACAACCGATTTCCTTAACCAAAGAGTTCTGTGCTCAGTCATCAAGCCAGTTGCAAGATAATCCAGTAACTGTAATCAAAACACTAACAACAAGCTTTGGTGGGGGTGATTGGTAAAATCTTGTTGGCCACATTGCCAAAACTGAAGGTACAATTACAACGACTTTTGTCTAATATTTACTTATTATGGGACAATACTTTATTCCATCAATCTGAAATGTGTCTGGTAAACACAATGGTCTTGAGAGTACATAGGTGTGTACAGGAGAGATAAACAGTATTGGTTATATGTACAGTAAGCAATAGGGAGACAGTCTATAGATTATTATGCTCATTGGCAGACACAACGCGTGTTATCGATACAGCCGAATACTACTAACTTCTGTGAATAATTTAACAACAACAAGGGTAAAATTAACTGAAATAATGCGACACAGTTTCGAGCTGGCAGCGTCACACGGCTCACTTGTTTTGATGTTTGTGTTTTTCTTGGAAATTCTACTGTCGAGGCTTTAGACATGTGTTAGTCCAAGTATGGACACTATCACACGCAAACCACTGCACATTTAAAGTCTTACCTCTCCAGATCCCCTCCTCCTGTCAGGGAGCACTAGTGTGTTCGCGTGGCTGCCCGGGACTATAGTAGATCCTATACTCATTCTGGGTCCAACTAACATGTACCGTTTCTCTCCAGATCTGTACTGGATGCTGTGGCACAGTGTCCCGTCATAATTAGTCTCTTGCAGATATTTAGAAGTATAGTCTGTGGTTTTGGAGCACTGCATTGCAATCAGCACGATGATACTGATGAGAAAAAGTACAGAAACTGAGCCCAAAGTTATCATCAGATAAAAAGTCACATCGGTCCCCTCCTCATCTTTGGCTGAACTTTTAACATCAGAAGCTGCAAAAGCCTCTTTGGGCTCCACAAGTTTGACCACCACAGTAGCTGTTGCTGAGAGCGACACGTTCCCATTGTCTTTGACCAGTATGAGCAGTTTGTGCTCAGCCTCGTCTGTCTCTGTGAAGGAGCGAAGTGTTCTGATCTGTCCTGTATAGCGGTCCAAACCAAAGAGACTGTGGTCAGTGACTTGCTGCAGTGAAAAGAGTAACCAGCCGTTATATCCTATATCAGCGTCATAGGCTCTGACTTTAGTCACCAAGTGTCCTGCGTTCACATTGCGGGGAATCTCCTCCACACCTTCAGCAGAACCGTTAGAGCTGACTGGATACAGGATGACTGGAGCGTTGTCGTTCTGATCCAGAATGAACACGTTCACTGTGACGTTGCTGCTCAGTGACGGAGTTCCAGAATCGGAGGCAACAACTTGGAACTGGAACGTTTTCAGAGTTTCAAAGTCGAAACTTTTTAGCGCCAAAATGTCTCCGTTTTCAGAGTTTATGTTGAGGAATGACGTTGCTTTATTTTCATAACCTGCATTCCTCTGAATTTGATATGAGATGAGAGCGTTATCTCCCTCGTCGCGATCAGACGCGCGTATAGAAAATATGGACATTCCAAGAGGGTTATTCTCAGTGACATAAACATGATATCCGCTCATTGAAAACTCTGGACTGTTATCGTTTACGTCGGATACAACAACTCTTAATGTCTGTTCAGATGTTAAGGCTGGCTCACCTGCATCTTTCGCGATTACTGTTACATTATAAATTGACTTGTTTTCTCTGTCAAGCTGTGACTTTGTCACGACAGCGTACATGTTATCCTGTATTGATGGCGTTAATGTGAAAGGGACGTCGCCTTTTACAAAGCTGATAACTTTCCCGTTCACCCCAGAGTCCAAATCGGTAATGCTGATAAGTGCTACTGTCGTTCCTGGTCTAGAATCCTCTGAAATTGTGTTGGACTGTGAGGTTACCTCAATTACAGGTGCGTTGTCATTCATGTCTTTAATATTTACAGTAACGCTTTTTTCCGTCCTAAATGGAACAGCACCGCTGTCAGATGCTTGGATATCTATCTCGTAACTGTCATCCAGTTCGTAGTCTAATTGCCCTTTCACAGTTATTTCACCTGTGCTCGGATCGACATCAAACAGTTCGCGCACCTTAGTGTTCACATTACCAAAAGAATAGCTGACATCTCCATTAAAACCGTCGTCTATATCTGTGGCATTTACTCGTATGACTATTGTTCCAGTTGGTGAATTCTCATTTATCTCAGCAGAATAGACATCTTGTGCAAACACTGGCGCGTTATCATTCACATCTAAAACGTCTATAAATATCTCCATGGTCCCTGTTTTAGGAGGTTTACCCCCGTCCAGGGCTGTAAGCAGTAGTTTATGGCTGCTAGAGGCCTCTCTGTCTATGGGGTTTTGTAATTGTAAAATAGGCACTTTGCCATCTTTTCCGCGATCTTTCACTTCTAGACGAAAATTATTGTTTTGACTTAATTTGTACTGTTGAACGGAATTCACACCTCCGTCTGGATCCAGAGCAGCGTGCAGCTGAAATCTGGTCCCCGGTAAAGTGGACTCTGAAATCTCTAGCCTTTTTTTGCTCTCCGGGAAAGACGGCGAGTGGTCATTCACGTCTAACACTTCCACAGCGACATAATGGATCTCCAGTGGGTTCTCTAGCACAGTTTTAAGGTTGATCAAACATGCACTGGTCCGCTGGCATATTTTCTCTCGGTCAATATTATGATTTACGTACAAAATCCCATCATTTTGGTTTACCTCGAAAAGGGGTTCAGTGGAGCCAGACACAATACGAAATCCCCTTGTTTTTAATATATTAGGATCGATTCCCAGATCCTTTGCTACATTCCCAACAGCAGTTCCTTCCTTGATCTCTTCCGATATAGAATATCTTATCTGTCCCGATGCCTTGCCGACAATCAAACTCAAAGTCAGCATGACGGCGACCCATCTCCTTCCTTTTTGCCATGAGTCCTGTCCGTTTCGTTCCATTGTCTAGAACCGATATATAAATCCAGAAAATACCAGGTGATCTACAGACTGTTTACATAGGTTATGAATTAACTGAAGAAAATAAATCCACGTCTTGCAATGCGCTTAGTTCGTAGGGACGAGAAATCCTTAAAATAAAATCACAGTCAGAGGATAATGGTCTGCCCGTCCTGAATGCTTCAGAGACGCAGTCTCACAGACCTATAAAGACCCGATGTGATGCGTATTTCTGGTTGTCTAGTGCCACCATGCGATCATATCACAAAGACTGATTTATCTCAACCCCTATTGACTATATAGTTTTACAACTGTACATGGGAAGCGATTCACCCGTCATCGCAAATGGTAACAAGTCAAATAGACTCACACTTAAGAAAGCGTTAATCACGATATAGTATTTTATATATTGTGTTATATTTGAAAACGAAAGACAGCGACTTCATCAAAAAAGTGCATGAAACAGTCTCAGTAGGAAAAACTCATAACATAGGCCTAATACATGCAGATGGGGACAAATTTAAGGATAAACGCGAATACCAGAGTGGAGAGACATCACATGCAGATGCATCGTGCACCAGGACTCACTGAAGGGTCTCGTGTGTATGAAAATGACATGAATAGAAATGCTACCTTTTTTTGAAGATTTTGGACCAACGTGTAAGACACTCCACCAGCATCACCATAACACCCATGATATGAACTTTTATATCAACCCATTTAGTGATGTCTGTAATCTGATGCTCTATATGTCTATATGTTTGTTGTGTCTGGGTATGTTAGTTTTTCTTTCTATCTGTTGTACTTAGTTATATCTTGCAAAAGAGATTTTGATCTCAATGACATTACTTTAAGGTTGTATACGTGGAGGAATGGTGTTCATCCCTATAGTTCCACAGACTTGGCAAGATGCACTGAAGATGTCCTGGAGGCTGGTGGTCGCTTGGCTCCACATAAAGACACTTCATGATGGTTTTTCCTTTAATTGTCACCTATTTGTACATGTAATTAAATTAATATCACAATTGATACAAGTTGTTAAGAAGCGTTAAATGAGCAAAAGCTTATTGATTTGTGTTTCACAAAATGTCCTCTGTCACCGATATATCCGGCCATTTATGTATCTATTAATAGGATTCTGCACACTAGCCTGAAAAAAATAAAATAAACACGTCTTACCTCTCCAGATCCCCTCCTCCTGTCAGGGAGCACTAGTGTATTCGCGTGGCTGCCCGGGACTATAGTAGATCCTATACTCATTCTGGGTCCAACTAACATGTACCGTTTCTCTCCAGATCTGTACTGGATGCTGTGGCACAGTGTCCCGTCATAATTAGCCTCTTGCAGATATTTAGAAGTATAGTCTGTGGTTTTGGAGCACTGCATTGCAATCAGCACGATGATACTGATGAGAAAAAGTACAGAAACTGAGCCCAAAGTTATCATCAGATAAAAAGTCACGTCGGTCCCCTCCTCATCTTTGACTGAACTTTTAACATCAGAAGCTGCAAAAGCCTCTTTGGGCTCCACAAGTTTGACCACCACAGTAGCTGTTGCTGAGAGCGACACGTTCCCATTGTCTTTGACCAGTATGAGCAGTTTGTGCTCAGCCTCGTCTGTCTCTGTGAAGGAGCGAAGTGTTCTGATCTGTCCTGTATAGCGGTCCAAACCAAGAGACTGTGGTCAGTGACTTGCTGCAGTGAAAAGAGTAACCAGCCGTTATATCCTATATCAGCGTCATAGGCTCTGACTTTAGTCACCAAGTGTCCTGCGTTCACATTGCGGGGAATCTCCTCCACACCTTCAGCAGAACCGTTAGAGCTGACTGGATACAGGATGACTGGAGCGTTGTCGTTCTGATCCAGAATGAACACGTTCACTGTGACGTTGCTGCTCAGTGACGGAGTTCCAGAATCGGAGGCAACAACTTGGAACTGGAACGTTTTCAGAGTTTCAAAGTCGAAACTTTTAGCGCCAAAATTTCTCCGTTTTCAGAGTTTATGTTGAGGAAAGCATTATATCA